GAGAACTTGTCTGAAAGTTGCTGAACCACTGACTTGAACGAGCCCCTATTGTTGCTGGGTGTGAAGGAAGAGAGAAAAGAGCTAGTTGATGCTGAGATAGGGTCATCAGGATGAGAGCTACCTGCTTTGTCTTCCTTCTTGCATCAAGCATGTAAATTCTCCATGTGTGAGTCAACGAGAGAGTGCAGAAGATCACTGAGGCTTAAGGCTCTTGCTGGCACTCCCAAAGAAGCCCTTCCAGACAAGGATCCCCCCAAAACAAAAGGCAATATATTAGATTACCCCTGGCAGGGACAGGAGGGGATGTCTGGGAGAAAGAGGATGATACTGACTTCTATGTTGGGAAGTGCGCAAGGCAGGCTCCAGAGAGCAACCGTGGCCAGTGCAAGTAAGACTGCTGGCATCTGGACTCCTGACACACTGAGGGAACTGCTGTTGAAGTAGCTACAACCAGCAGAGAGAGAACAAACAACTCTGGACAGTCTTGCAGAGGACATTCTCTCTCTCTCCTCCTCATCCCTGCCTGGGAGGAAACAAGAGCCATGGAGGAAGAAGGAGCTATTACCACTCCCTCCACGAATCACTCTTATAACCACAATTCCAGTCCACTGGCACCAGGAGAATGGGAAGAGCTATGAATTAAATATAAGATTAAAGATTTTAAATGGGCATGACTAAGACATAATACTTAGAATTAAGACTGCATTAGTTACTGAAAGTGACTTCATAGATATAGGACCAAAGTAGGATATTCTTTTTTTTTTTTTTTTTAAGATTTTATTTATTTATTTATTAGAGAGCGAGATCACAGGGGAGGGACAGAAGGGAAGGGAGAGGGACAAGCAGATGCCAAGTCGAGTGCAGAGCCCCACATGGGGCTAGAGCCCATGACCCTGAGATCATGACCTAAGTCAAAATCAAGAGTTGGGGGATGCCTGGGTGGCTCAGTGGGTTAAAGCCTCTGCCTTCGGCTCAGGTCGTGATCCCAGGGTCCTGGGATCCAGCCCCACGTCAGGCTCTCTGCTCAGCAGGGAGCCTGCTTCCTCCTCTCTCTCTCTGCCTGCTTCTCTGCCTACTTGTGATCTCTGTCAAATAAATAAATAAAATCTTAAAAAAAATTTTGTAAAAATCAAGAATTGGGCACTTAACCCACTGAGCCACCCAGGTGCCCCCAGAGTAGGATATTCTTTTTTTTTTATACATATAAAATTTTTTTTTAAATTTTATTGTTTGTCTCCCTTATAAACTATAATCGCCATAAACCAGAGACCATGTCTACCTTGTTCACCACTGTATCCCTTGAGTACAGCATATGCGCTCGACAAATTGTTAAATGAAGATTCCTTATCTTTTAAAGCTAGAAACTGAAATGTCTCTAGAATAAACAGTGTGATGTCTTGCATTTACTTTAAAATAATTCAGGAAGGCGGCGATGAGAGAGTGGGTGAGAATATAAGTGGAATAAGATTGTACATTCTTGAAGCTAGATGATGGACACAGAGGGTTCACTATAATCTTCTCTCTCCTTTTTTAAAAAAAATATTTTATTATTTGACACAGAGAGAGAGAAAGGGAACACAAGCAGGGGGAGCAACGAGGGAGAGGGAGAAGCAAGCTCCCCTCTGTGCAGGGAGCCTGATGTGGCACTTGATCCCAGAACCCTGGGATCATGACCTGAGCCAAAGGCAGACACTTAACCAAAACAGCCACCCAGATACCCCTTCTCTCACCTTTTTAGAAAAAGTTTTTAAATTGTGGGAATATCATAACTCACGTTCTTAATTTTAGATTTTTTTCTCAACATAATACAAAAACATACAAATTTACATAAAAGTTAAACATCTATATAACTACCATGAAAATTTGACAATGTTAACATTTTATTATATTTTCTTTATCCATATTTATCCATCTACACATTCACCTATCTTATTTTAGATGCATTTCAAAGTAACTTGCAGACATCAGTATACTTCATCCCTTCACTATAGCATACATATCATAGAGTTCAAAATTTTTTCCGTGTCTTTTTTTTCAGGTAAAATTTACTTACAGTGAAATCATATATTTACTATGTATAAATATAATACATAACTTACAAATATATATATATATATTATTTTTCTTTTTAAAAGTTTATAGTATTATGTTTGTGTTTCCCTAAAATTCATATGTTAAAACTCTAACCCTCAATGTGATGGTATTTGGAGATGGGATCTTTGAGAGATAATTAAGGTTAGATTAGACATGGAGATGGGGCCCTCATGCTGGGATTAGTGGCTTTATAAAGAAGAGATTTCTCTCCCTCTCCCTCTCTCTCTCCCTTCTTCCCTCCCTCCCCTCTTTTTCCCTCTCTTTCTCCCTGTATGTACCCACTGGGGAAAAACCATGTGAGGACATAACAAGAAATCTGCAATCCAAAGAGAGAGCAACCAAACCAGCCAGCACCTTGATCTTGGACTTCTCAGCCTCCAGAACTGTGAGAAAATAAGTTCCTCTTATTTAGTTAACCCAGACCATGTCATTTTGTTAGGGCAGCGTAAGCCAACTAAGACTTAAAGCTAAACATAAGTGTTATTAGGAATCCACTAAAGGCAGTTTGATTACATTCTCTCTTAAAGATCACTTTGGCTGGGGCGCCTGGGTGGCTCAGTGGGTTAAAGCCTCTGCTTTCGGCTCAGGTCATGATCCCAGGGTCCTGGGATCAAGCCCCACATCGGGCTCTCTGCTCAGCAAGGAGCCTGCTTCCCCCTCTCTCTCTGCCTGTCTCTCTGCCTACTTGTGATCTCTCTCCATCAAATAAATAAATAAAATATTTAAAAAAAAATCACTTCGGCTGAATGTGGAAAAAGGAATGAAAGAGAGCAAGAATAGATTCAGGAAGACAAGATATGAGGCTGCTATAGTAGCCTGGGCCAGAAGTGATCTCTTAGTTTGCCGAAAGTCCTAACAGTAGAGGCCAAAAGAAGTGAAGGGGTGCAAAAAAATATTTAGGAGATAAAAAGAGACAGGACTTGTTGGTGAGAAAGAAGTAGAAATCAAGCATAATGCTCAGATTTCTCACTTGAGCATTTGCTGGCTGGTAGTACCACCATGCAGTGAGATGGGGAACAAAGAAGCAGCAGCAGGGTTTTTTTGAGTGGACAGGGGTTCGTTTTTCAACTTGAGTTGCCTGTGAGATTTAATACACATTTGGATATATATATCTAGAGCTTTGAGAACAGGCCTGAGTTAAACCTAGGGAGTCATCGGCATGAAAATTATCATTTAAAGCCCCAAGAATAGTTGACATTGTGTAGGGCGAGGTGTGTGCGGGTGGCCTATGTCAGACCTCTGAGGAACATCAAGATTTAAGGAGTAAGTAGTGGAGCAGGAGTCATCTAAGGAGGCTAAAAAGAAGTGGTAAGAGAGATGCAGAGTCACAAAAGCCTTGTGAAGACAGTGTTTCAAGAAAAAGGGAGTTAAGGGCACCTGGGTGGCTCAGTCTTGTAAAGCATCTGCCTTCTGCTCAGGTCATGATTCCGGAGTCCAAGAATGGAGGATGAGTCCGGCTTCGGGCTCCGTAGGGAATAGACTTCTCCCTCTGACCCTCTCCCCTCTCATGCTCTCTCTCACTCTCTTTCACTCTAATAAAGAAAACTTTGAAGAAGAAAAAAGAAACAGTGTGTGAAATAAACCAAATGTCTAATGGCATTTGGTGAAGACAATTTAATGAAGCCCTTCACAAAAGGGATGATTTCAGTCATTTGACCAGAACTTGAAATCCACTCCTCACCCACCAGACCTGTGATTTTCAGTGCATGGTCCCCAGAACAGCAGCATCAATGTTACCTGGGAAATTTCAGAAATACAAATTGAGAGCCTCATACCTCCTCCCCAGATTTAGAAACTCTGGAGTGAGGCCCAGCAATTGGTGTTTGAGCAAGTCTTCGTGATTGTGATGCTCTCTAAAGTTTCAGAATCACTGCCCTAGACACTGCTAAGGTAGCACATGACAACCATTCCTTTGAGAACCAAATCCTCTTCAGGTAAATACAATTTCCCATTGGATCTGTCAACATATATTACCAACTTGCTGGTGCATGAGCCACAGGATTTTTGTCAATACCCCACATTTCTTGTAACACAGATCCTATCTGGATTTTAACGTTGGTAACCTACAACCAGCCAACTACCTACCACTTCGCCCTCTATGGGGTATATCTTTCTTTTTATCTTTATAGCTTTGCTCATTCTTAACCCCTTATTATTCCTGATGTGTGCCCCCTCATGGCTTCCCTTTGTGCCTTTTTTCAAGTTTCTGATCCTGCTACCAACTGTACAAGTGTCTAGATCTCACAGCGTAAATTCCTGAGTGACACAGATTGTTGGTGAAACTGCCAATTGGTACAACTTAGGAGTAATTTGGCATCATTTAGCCAAACAGCAGAAACATCACCTTTGACCCAGTAATTCTAATTCCACTCTAGGAATTTATCCTACAGACCTACTGCACATGTGCATAAGGAAGTGGGGCCTCTGTGCCCCACCTGGCCACAAGCCAGGCCACCTACCCTCAGTCAGTCAGGGGCTCCTCATCCCGTCTGCCGGAGGCCAAGTCCCTCCCCTGGGACTCGGGCTCAGTCAGAGGCCTGTTCACACCTCACTTCACACTTGGGTCGGTTGGAAGCAGGTGGGGAAGCCCTCGCAGCCTTAGCGTCACGCAGGCATAACCGCAACACTGGCCCAAGCCGGCTGCGACTTGATTTTCTCTCTCTCTTTTTCTACTCCCGGGAAGGGAGGGCGAGTGCCCTGCGGAGACCGGCGCCCGCCTCCCTGACCCGGCCGCCCGCCGCTTGCCGCGGGGGTTGGGGACGGAGTGGGGGCAGGCTCAGGAGGGGCGGGGCCGGTCGGGGGGCGGGGCTCGGGGCGGGAAGGGGCGGGGCCGGCGGGGTGATGGCTCCGGTTGTCGCCGCCGCTGCCGCTGCCGCCGCCGCCGCCACCGTCGCCTCCTCAGCGGGAGCCGAAGTCGCCGCCGCTACCGCCGCCGCCCCGGTCGCCGGCGGCCCGCGCGCTGCCTCGGCTAGGGCCCGTAGCCATGGAGGACTTCATCGTGATCTCGGACGACAGCGGCTCCGAGAGTTCCGGGGGGGCCCGCTCGGGCAGGGCACGGAGGCTCCGCCGGGCCCTGTCCCGGACCCCCGGCGCGCTGCCCCGCCGGACTGTGGTGAGTGAGCTAGCCGCCGCTCGCTAAGCCCCACCGCGGCGGGGGTGCCGCCCCCCACCCCGGCTTGGCCCGTTGTCCCCTGCGCCCCCGCCTCCCGCCCCTTGGTGCCTCACAGCTGCAGCCGGTTCCCGCCTCCCCGCCCGCCGGCCTCTCCCGCCCGGAGGAGCGCGGCGGGCCAGGGCCGCGGCCGCCGGGCCTCCCGGGCTCCCCGCTCCAGCCGCAGCGGGCCGGGGCTGGCGACGGCGGCCGAGCACATGGACGGCGCCTGGCGCGCCTGCGGCAGGGGGTGCGGGAACCCGCTGCAGGAGGCGGCCTCAGGCCCGGCCGCGGGCTCCCCCGGACACAGGGTGGGGGCCGGGGGGCTGAGGGGACGCGGTCCTGGGGGCTGTCCCGGATCTCGAGGCAGGGCCGCGGGAGCGTGTAATTGTTGGGCCTGTTGTGAGTACAGATGTGTGCAGGGAGGTAACAGGAGACTGGGCTGGGAGAGAGGGAAGCGCGGGCCTGAGCCTGAGCCAGATGGTGGCCGCGCTCCAGGGCCTGGCAGCCGAGCGAGGGGCCCGATTTTGGAGCTGTGCAAGAGGGCGATTTATTTCGCTTAGCAAACATTTACCAGCCTCTAAAGGAATAGGGAGGGAAATATCTTGCACTGTTTCTTTTTCCCCTCGAGCCCCCTAGTCTTTGTCCTTCTTCCTGAGACGATGAATGAAATATCTATGGTCCCTGCCTTTCTCGAATCCTCCACAGATATTTACTGAACCCCTAATGTGGGCTCGATATGCTAGGCGCTGGGGATACAAAGGAGAACACAGCATCCGTGGTCCCTCTCATGGAAGGTGATAGATTCAACAAGTGACTATTGAGTATTCAAGGGATGGGAGGTGGACAGGCTTTCTCTCAACCTCAGATTTAAGTGGTCTTCCCAGCCTCCTATGGCCACGCCCCAGAAATAAAAGAATTCTGACGCTGCTGTTATTTGTACAGATCTGTAACCAAGTGTTTAAGGAAGACATCTTCCTTCGTATGCAAATATTCCTTCAAGCCAAATCTCCTGGCTTCTGCTCCTCCAATCCCAACTAGTTTGCAGTCCGTAAGTCTCCACTTCGAGCCCCTTCTGTGTCCCAGGTATAGTGCTATGTGCCAGGTGGTCATTACAAAATGAAGGCCATACAAAAGCAATTAACTTAGAGTCCTGTGTAGCCATGGCTCAAGTATGAAGGATTTCTCAGTAAATCTCAGGTAAGAATTTAGATGAGATGGACAGACAAGATTTTCATAGTCGAAGTGAGCCAACTTGGTTAAGTTAATGGCGGTGTGTAGGACATAATAGAGCCACAGTAAATGTTTGTTGGATGAAAGAACGGTTGAAGGAAGAGAGGAGAGAGAACACGTTTGATTAAGTGAGAGCAAGTACAAGGGTAGGAGCAGGCTTGAGGTAAAAGGGATGCTGCATTCATTTTGGACCTCAGTGGGGAGACTCTGGAAATCTCGAGGAAGATCAGGACTGGAGAGATTTGGTAATCATCCAGATAGAAAAGAGCACTGAGGGCTGAATTGTGACTGAGATCAGCAAGGAAGAGACTAAAGGGAGAAAAAAAGGTGGGAGGAAAAAATACTGCAGAGTAATTTATAACTGCCTTTTCTCCTAGTTCTTCCTCTTTCCTATTGCTCCTTCTCTCAATCCCCCTTTACACTTTGTCAGTCTACCAACTCCTTTTCTTTCCAGGTACTGTCCAGCTTCCCTCGTCGTGGCCCAGCTCCCTTTAAGTGCATAGATGTCATCCTTAGCCCATTCTGTGGTGTCTCTTGTGGCCCTTCATACACACATACGTGGGTACACTCTCAAACTGCTCCCCTCCCCTGTAACTACCCAACCAAGCATTTTGATCTTGAGCCTTTTGAATAGTACCCACTGTAAATCTTGCTTCTCCATATATTTACTCCAATTTTCTTAAAAACACCAGGCTTGTTCTCCTTTTATTGTTCTTGCAAATTAAATAGGGCAGTGGGATAGCCATGTAAACGAAGAGAGGCATTAAGAGACTTGCAAGGTTAAAGCCTAAAGCTCCTTTGTCTCATTTTTCCCTGAAGGCCTTGAGGTCAGATAGACCTCCTCTTCTTCTTTTTAAAGATTTTATTTATTTATTTATTTGACAGAGAGACAGCGAGAAAGAGAATAAATACAAGCAGGGGGAGTGGGGGAGAGAGGAGCAGGCTTCCCTGGGATCACGACCTGAGCTGAAGGCAGACCCTTAACGACTGAGCCACACAGGTGCCCCCAGAGAGACCTCTTCAAATCAAGGTCTTCCACATAGCAGCTGGGAGAACTTTGACAAGTTCTGTCACCTCTCTCAGCTTTTGCACTTGAGAATGTTGATACCTGGCAGGACATTAGAAGGTTTTCAATGAGGCAATGCAAGGAAAATGCCTAGTTATCAATGGTAGCTTTTGCTACACTTTGTGTTATTTCTCAATCAAGCCTGACCTTCTCAAGCTTGGCAGGCAATGAAATAAACAAGTTTTATTTTATTTCTGTTTTACAAATACTGACAGAGAAAACAACTTGCTTGAACTCAGGAAATCAGAAAATCATCTCCAATACTGTAGTTAACATTTCTGAACCCATGGTTTTAAACCTGGGCTCTAGTCTTCATTAAGTTTATGAAGTGTGTCTGTGTTTACCACAGTACTTAATTGCTTTTTGTTTCCCACCTAAAAATCAGAACATAGGTAATTTTTGTTGACCTAATTATGAAAAGTTTAGAAATGTATGTAGAAGAAAATTAAAATTGCCATTACTCTCACCATCCAAAGATCACCAGTGTTGACATTTTGAAGTTTGTCTTTCCAAACTTAACTGTAAGTGCCTGTGTACATTTCATACATAATGCCATGTATCTTCCCCATACATTGTTTTTGCAAAAAATGAAATTTTGCTCTACATGTGGGGTTTTCTTTTAAGATTTTATTTACATAGTTTTACAGAGAAAGAGCAGGGGAAGGAGAAGAGGAAGAGGGAGAGCATTTCAAGCAGACTCCACTTGGAACGAGGAGCCCAACACAGGGCTCCATCTCAGGACACTGAGACCATGACCTGAGCCACAACCAAGAGATGGATCCAACTGAGCCACCCTGGTGCCGCTACCTGTGGGGTTGTTTAGCTTGCCTTTTAATATACTTTTTATCTCTTGCTGCACCAATACATACATGCCTCCCCAATATATTTTTTTTTAACAAGGAGGAACTTTTTTATGAAGATTTATTTATTTGAGAGAGAAAGAGCACATGAGCAGGGGGAGGAGCAGAGGGGCAAGTAGTCTCTCTGCTGAGCAGGGAGCCCAACAGGGGCTTGATCCCAGGACCCTGAGATCATGACCTGAGCCATCCAGGTGCCCCTCCTCTGAAATATTTTTAATGTATTTCATTGTACAGATTTATGATTATATTTATAACCTCCTATTAAAGGATATCATGCTGACATTTCTAAATTTTCTGTGTCATAAACAATACAGTATAAAGTCCCTCATAAGTAATCTTTGTACCTTTGTTCATTTGCTTGTTTAGGATAAGTTCCTCTTAGAAGTGAAAGTGTGAAGTCAAGAGGTATGCCCCCTTTGAGAGCTTTTGATACACATTGCCAAATTTCCTACAGAAATTATGCACCAATTATATTCTCACCATACCCTTTTCTCTACTATCTAGTCACCCCAGATATTGTCAATTTTTTGGGTAAATATTTACTGAACAATTATTATATGCCAGGCACTTGTAGGTGCTAAGAATACAGATGTGAATAAAACCCAAGTCCCTGGCCTTGTGGAGGTTCTATTTTAGTCAGGGGAAGACAAACAATAAATAATCACATAAATGTAATTTCAGACAGTATGCAAAGCATTAGAAAGGAAAATAGTCATTTTTGTTCTTTTAATCTTTGCTGATATGATAGCCAAATTCTTTGAGCTGTTACGGTTTTAATTTTTTTCTTTGGTTGTAAGTCATTCTTTCAGTAAATACTGAGCACATGCTTTGACCCTGGGGACCAGAGGTAAACAAGGTAACAAGGGACCTACATTCTAGTGGGGAAATATAAGTAATAAACAACTATTAAATAAGTGAACAATGTAATAGTAACTTGGGTGGGGTTGGGAACATTTTGATGTGTTTTCAAAGAAGACCTCTCTCTGAAGAGTTAATATTTGATCTGAGAACAAAATGACAGAACAGATTTGTTATGAGAAGTTCTAAGGGAATAAGGTAGCAGGAAAGGGTGCAGCTAAAGCAAAGACTTGGAAGTAGAAATGACATGACCAGTTGGAGGAATCAGAAGACCAGTGGGGCTTGAATGTAATGGTTGCACAACAGAGTCCGAAGAGATGAGAAATAGGTGGACTAGGTCATTTGGGGTCATGTAGACCACAATAAGAAATTCAAATTTTATCCTTATATATAAGAAGTCTTTGAAGGGTTTCAAGGCACTAGAATGACATGATCTGATTTATATTTTTAAAAGGTGACTTTAGCTACTGTGAGAAGATAGGACTGTAAGGTAAGGTGATCATATCATATAGTATTCAAATGGGAATCATTTTGAAAATGAAGTGGGTGCTTACTGGAGGGAAGGTCAAGCAACAGGTAAAAACTGGAACTTCCCCAAACAAACCAGAAGTATAATCATGTTCCTGTAAGAGGACCAAAGTGGAATCAGCGAAATCATTTTTTGAGGTTGCTGTAATAGTCCAGACCAAAAATAATTGTAGCTTGGAATAGAGTGGGCTGGGTTACTGGAAGTATTTAGTAGATATTTAGGAAGTAAAATCAAGTCCTGAGAACTTGGATGGGGATAGTGAGGGAAAGGGAGAATCAAGAATGATGCCCTGGTTTTGGCCTGAGCCACTGGATGCATGTTGTTGTCATTAACGGAAATGAAGAAGACTTGAGGAGGAACAGGATTGGAAGATAGATTCAAGAGTTCTGTTTTGAAGGTGTTATAAGTTAAGATGCTT